TTCGCAATTTCTTCTTCAATGAGTTACTGCCTCAACTATTTTGTCAAATTCTATGATAAACTAATTTATTTTACTGTTCACTCATAGTGTGCTATGTCAATTAGAATTATTCTATCATGGTATTATATCCCTGTATTTTCGGCACACTTAAAACCTGGAGAGAATACGACTTCCTTCGGATGAACTCTTAAGATTTAATACTGTATTTATACTAGTAACATTCATTTAAGGCACGTAAACATCATAAACATTGCTTCCGAAACTTCGAAAGCAATCAAAAATACCAAATAATTGTTTCAATCAGAGAGTACCCATTAATTATGATCTCAAAGTAAAGGTTGAATTTTCCATTGACAAATAATATTTTAAGATAATCAGTTGGTAAGCCAATGTTCATGCTATTTGATTCAATATACTCGCATAGATAGCAGATAGTGTCTACTAGTGGTACATTTGTGAACAATGAACAAATATCTAACGAAATCATATGCTTACCAGTCACATTAGTTTCATCAACACAACTGACGAAGTCAAAAGTGTCGGAAAGACTATGTTTACATAGATTCAATCTAACTGGTTCCAGAATTTCCGCAAGCCATTTAGCGGTAGAGTGATACGGCAAAAGACAACTAAATGAATTGCTTAACAACAAAAACATAATACTGATTCGTCCAGACAAGGGATCAGGTATTGTTATTCTTAATCGTGATGATTATGTCAATAAATTATGTACCATCCTGAGTGATGAAGATAAATTTCTAAAATCACCTGATCAAAAGGACAAGACAGATAATATTGAGAAGGAATTATCTAAAACTTTGACGAAATTGAAGCAAGAATGCATCATTACTCCATATATGTATGAACAGCTTAAACCATCTGGTTCAACTATCCCTCGTTTATATGGTCTCCCAAAGGTGCACAAAGATGATGTCCCTCTGCGACCTGTATTGGATATGCTGAATTCGCCGTATCACTCTACCGCTAAATAATATTTTAGATAATTTCTCTAGACATATATTTTGACAAATTAATTTTCTTTTCCATAACTGTTTTTTTAGATTATGAAGAAAATAGAAAACAGTCCAGTTAAGAAGATTTTCTTTATCGAAGAAATCATCTTCAGAAGTTGTACAGTTATATTTATATTTATCACAATTGTTTAGTAGTTCACTATTGAGTAATATAAAAACTATTGTACAGCCTCTGAGGATGATTTGGTTGGTAAAGAAAATTTTCTTCACTGAATTTGTCTTCTGTTTTCTTCATGACTCAATGGGTTCTTAGATTAGTTTGGATTTATTGCTTACGCTGAACTGAAGTACTCGATGCTACTTCTGTACTGGATCTCTATTAAAATATCCGTTTGACGATATCTGAAGGTTAATGGGATGTTCTTTTTGGTTGATGGTGACTAGTACTACATATTTCGACCTATTTAAGACTTTTCGGCTGGATGTACCTGTCTTTTCGATGAAAGATGGTATTTCCGTCATAAAATGGAAGGCTTTTGTCGTCCATTGGATAACATCTTGACGCTTAGAACAATTGGCACAATGTTCGAATCTCAACGGGAACACTATCCCTCACTGAAAGGACAGGTATGCCCGGATCACGTTAATGGGCTTCCTGGATTCCATTGTCAATCACCATCAACCAAAGTGACATATCTCTAACTTGTTGTGTACACCGATATGTACTGTATTAGTTCTGTTTCACTGAACTTAGCGATCAAAAAGTAAAACTGGATTTTATTCGCTTGATGATAGCTAGCAGTGGCGTTTCAAACGCGTATTTCTCTCCTTTCAAAAATCTTCACTTGGATGTGTCTCTATCATATTGATTGTTACTGATCCCACTGAGACTTGTTATCCAGCCACCAACGTTTCAAAACTGAAGTTATTCTATGAGTCAAAGTATGTGTGTCGTCTAGGAGGTCAAATATAAGATGGCAGTGAATACTGAACGGTTTACTCAGTGTATGCATGAAATTTATGATCAAGAAGTAGGAAGTTATTGTTCTCTAGTTTCTCCTTTCACGCAGGAACTAAGTCAGCTACTGAGATTTTAAAACTCCTTCAAGTTCAGCTGCCCAAAGATACTCTTCCAGTAGAATATAAAATGTTAGCGATTAATTTGGAAATCATAAATTTGTTCAAATTCTGAATAGTACCATTCCATCACGGATATGTCGATAAACTTCCCCTCATACTTAATTTATGCCGTACATTTGTGTTTTCTTCCCAAAAATTATTCCTAAAACGGAACACAGTAGGCTGTCCTAAATGAGTGATCTTATTAATTATATACTTAGACAAACTTATCTAGGGAGCATCGTCTCAACCACAGGAGGAACGGACGAGGATGTCAAATCGAGAATCGGGAAGGCGAGCGAGAAACACATTCATCAACCTGAAATCAATCTGAAAATCTTCGTCACTCAGCCAGAATCAACAACAAAATTCGGTAGGATTTTCAATACAAACACGTCAAGTCAGTCAGTTCTTCTATATGGATCGGATCAGAAACTTAGCGGTACAGGTCACAAAGAATATTTCCAACAGGCTATTGCACACCTTTATCAACCAACAACTGTCTTCGCTCTATACTGAATGAAGATCAAATGGCCGGGCCGGGTAGAATCACTAACAAGAAACTATGGGAACAAACAAACAAACAAAATAAGAACCAATCGCCAACCAACAAATATGCAGGAGAAAGTGGAGATGGATTGGACACACGCTCGCTGAGGAGGCCACTGGGTGACATCGCGCGCGCGTCAGGTCATTGCTCGAGTGGAACCAGGCCGAAAGGGAAGCAGGCGGCGAGTGGGGCGTCAGTGCGAGGGTGATATGGAGGAGATCGTGTGAAGAGTTGAGGAGTTGAAACAGTATGGACTAACATGGATGCAGGTGAAAAGTACAACAGAAGGAAGACAGAAGTGGCAAGTGGAGGGAGACGTGCAGTTGAAGCCCTATGTTCCACTAGGAACCCAAGGGAGCAATAACAATAATAATAAACTTAGACAAACAGTGAATCCTTCAATCAGAAAGATATTTATTGCTTCCAGGATATTAATCATTGATAACTTGGTATCTTTTTATCCTTCTGTAATCAATCTCTTAGAACAAATAGAAGTTTATCAGTCTAAATAGATGTGTGTTCGACACAAACATAAGCCAGACTCATAGATGTCTTTAAGCTAGCGCTGCATAGCATATTCCTAAGTGACTTCAGAACAAGGTTGAATCTCTCAATGGTGAGAGCTCCTCATTCATGAAACACATTATTGCAACATGGTATAAAATAGATGCCTGTGTGTGTGTGTGATAAAACTATTCACAAAATCTGTTGGATCATATCCTAAAGTTTATGGAAACCTTAACAATTAAGAAGCTAAATTCCCCTAATTTATTCACCAACAGTTTGAAAAAGTGCGTGGGTGGCCCAGTGGTTAGGACGCTCGCCGATCATGCACATGGTCCGCGGTTCGATCCCCGGCCGCCGACACACTCCTTTACCTCGCTAAGTCGGAAATAAAGCTGGTAAAGAGAAAAGGTTGAGCAGGAGGCTAGCAATCCAATCCTGTAAAAATAAACATCACTGCTACAGAAACTCCAAGCTTCTAGATTGATTGAAGCTCTATGTTCGTTCCTCCGGGAACGTGAAGGAATAAAATTAAAACAGTTTCACATCACAATAAACCTTCACAGTCTTGGTGAGTTTAGTGATGCAGCTTGTATCCCTTTTACAATATATACTTTTTATAAACTTGTTGGTTTTTATTCGATTAATAGTGTAGCTGTCTATTCTCAGTTATCTTAGCGGAAATTAAACAATCAGTTGAATGTAAAATGCTAACTGACACAGCACTGGAGTACTTTGCATTTTATGTTCTAATACAAAATTATAGAAGAAAAACGATTTCTAGCATACAACATGTGCATAAGTGGTTCAGTTACAGAATTGTAATCAGTCACGTAGTATAGCCCGGTTTGATTCCTGGTTGACGTACTTCTAGACGGTTGTAAGTCTAGAAAAGACGGAAGGATGGGCTGAGGCTAGCAACTGTTACTGAAATGTCGAAACTTGAATCTCTATGTTTCATTCAGAGCCCATGAAATGAAAACAATAAGAAAAAAACACAAATGGTACTCGCTATTCGACCGTATTTCACAGTTACCTATTGGATTTCAACACATTTACTCAGGTTTTCAGCCAATCTAAGAAGATGGTTGTAAGTTGATATAATCAGGTAGAGCTGCAAATTCGAAGTTAAAAAGGCGTTAAATGTATCTGCACTGATATGATAGAGAAGATTTGTAGCTCAGGTGGATGATTTTGATCTGACCTGGATAGTTAATTAAATATCCTGGAATTTATTCCAACTTAAGCTAATTTTGATTAACTTGATATATAAGTAATTTATGTTTACCAAATCAAAGATTAAGCCATCCGATTTGAAGCCAAGTATTTCCAACACTTATCAATCCTCTATCTTATAAGAACTCATTTCATTTCATAAAAAAATCATAATAAAATGTCAAGACAAGTTTTTGTCGCGGACTGAAATCAGTTAGAGAACTATTGAAAACCAGCTGGCACTAGAAAGCTATTTCGTCCCAGATTATGACTCTTCGGCAGTAGACATGCATTCCGTCACTAGGCATTGATCCCAAGACTTTCACTATACAGGATAATGATGTTACTACTTAGCCTATGGATTTTAACTCCTACATATTCGTCTTATTAATATTCTCGCCATCAGTAGATTTCCCTCTCGTATGCTAAAGGCCCTAACTCCGATCTCTGGTAGGCTCATGGATGCATTCTTCTTCTGAAGAATCGAAAACTTGGAAGAAACAACCATCTAGTACTTCCTGGCTTCATCATGATTTTCTATGCCATATCACATTTCGTGACGAAGACCACCCTGAATGTCTATAATTCATAACTTGAAAATCATACGAAAAATATTTAATATTTAAAAAGTGACTTACGATGTGCTAGTTAGCGTTTTCGATAAATTCTTTGTATTGCCTTCTACTTGTATCATATCCATTGAAAAGTTATTCTTTTTTTTTCAAATTCTTAACTTGATATGCCAGTAATGTAAGCGAAGAATTCGCTTATGTTGTAATCGAGAAGCAGTTTTTACGCTATTTAGCTCTCAACCGTTATCTGAAGGTAGGTGTATGTGTGTGTGTGTGTACGTGCGGAATATTAAATTAGTATAACCATGATTAATGCATAAATGATTGAAAAATGCCTTATTACGAAAATAGTCGATTAATAGAGACGGACAGACAGAAAAATAAGCAACTGTAACTTGTGTATTGATATTACTGTTGTTATTTATTTTGAGATTTCTATTTTCCAATGATAGATAGTCAACCCAACCTAACTGTTATTTATTTCACCCCTTTAGTAGTAGTAGTCTATCCTCTATCCGATATATTTCAATCTCTACCATTCATTCAATGCTTTAATTTCATTGGACAGCTTGTAATCTCACTCCTGTGGATGCATGTATAGAACAATTTATTGAAGATAGCCTATCATCACAAGGAAAATAGTAGTTCTATGCACATCTGTGACTCCTTTTTTATTTTTATTACTTTTGATATATGTTTTTCTAAAGGGTGGTAGTAGTTGTAGTAGTATCATATACACTAAGTAAACTAACCAATAGGAAAATTTAAATAATACTTTCTTCGTCTAAGTGTAGATGAGATAAACAAAACAAAAAAAATGGCTATTCTTTCAATGCTCAATATACATTTATGCATTCATTTCATTATATACAGTAGTGATACACCCATTTGAAAAATAATCAATAGAAAATAGGGTAATTTTGTATTTTTCATTGCTTAACAATAACTTTGCTAGTTAATTCCATTATAAGAAGACAAAGAAATGCCAGATTTTTTTTGATTGCATGGAAGATTTAATCATGAGCTGACATCAGTTAGAGAACCACTGGACCACCTGGGAGTACTGGACAGCTGTTTCGTCAGCCTAGTTCGGGACTCTTCATCAGTACTCACCCACCACGGGGAGGGGAGTCCAGGACCTTCTGGTTACAAGGCTGGTGAGCTCGTAGAACATTGAGCCACTGGGACCCGATCCAATGGCCAGTCCATGAATTCTAACTTCTGCCAATTCACTACATAGCGCCACCATTTAGCAATGTCTTCTTCGATGAGTTACTGCCTCATCTTCAACCTCCTGTTCCCACTAGAACCCCAGGTTAACTGCCTGAATAGGGTCAGTTGCTAGTGAGCATCAGATTAATTTTCAAGTATTGGTTTTGTAGGGATTTTATTCCATTGCATTTTTTTTGACATCCACCAAATTGCATCATATTTATCCCTGTTCATGTTGTTTTTACAATCTATTTATGTTCATGAATGGCAACCTACTATCACGCCCAGTTTTTCAAATTACTGCTACTAAGTTTTTGAAGAAAATGGACGAAAAACTTCATGGGGGTAATGGAGCATACTGTGGATTGAACGAGTGATTCATTATCGACTACTAATTATATCACTTGAAGATCTTGCACAAGGAGTAAATACCTTGCAATAAAGCAGGTTGGAAATGTTATACTATGTTTTAAAAGAATTTTTCTGAATAAAATTGTCTGTTTAAAACCTTGGCTACTAAAATACTTCATCATTATATCACATATAATTTCTCTTCATTTAGTCTTAATCTGTTAAAATATAACGTCTAAAGGTGTTTTCTACTCACGTGAGAATTTACAATGTCCACGACCAAATGTCCACTATTATTTTTTAAATATTGTTAAAATATTATCAAAGAAGAATATTTTATGAGAAGGTCATACTTCTATCACGGTGTCCAAATTCTCTTCTTATATGAAGGAAACCGTTGGTTATTAGAGAGTTTGTGATAACCAGAATTGATATCCTGTTGTGAGGCAGATTTTGCTTGTACCTTCAAACATCATCACTTTTAAAGTAGACAAAAGTTTTTGATTTGAAACCGAAGATTACCTTCAGATAATGTCACCATCAGTCTAGGGATGACAGGAGAAGACTTAACTACTCAGCTAGTGTAATGATAAATAGACACTGACACTTGAATAACTAACTCATTCACATGGCAATTTGGAATTACTTGCGATAACTACAGTGAATCGATGGCCTGGTTAGCAGTTAGATAATGTAGCTTATTTAACAGAACATCAGATTAGTGTGATTCAGGGTTCACAGCCTCGAAACAATTCTCTCATTTATCTAGACAGCATCGTTTTAGCTACAGGAGGTAATGATTAAGTTTCTTAAGAGCATTCAGGATCGGAATGGTAAGAAAAACCTTCATCAACAGGAAATCAGTCTGAAAATCTACTCCTCTGAGCATATGGAACAATATCCAGATTTTTAACACAAATATCAAATTACTCCTTCTGTGTTGTTTAGGGAATTGATAAGCGCCTCATCAAAAGCATTTCGAACAAGCCACTTCAGACTTTTATCAATAGCTTTCTTTTCTAGCTCACTAGTGAAGATTAGATGGCTGGTCAGAAAGAATTAGTTACAAGGAACTCTGACTGACAAATAACCAACCAAGAATACAAATCGCAATAAATATGCTAAAGAAAGTGGAGATGGATTGGACATGCACTGGAGAGACCGTTGGGTGACATCGTGTATCAGGTCCTTGAAGGGAAGGTGAACTGGAAACGATGAGGTGAGCATAGGTTTGTGAATGACATGACGAAGATCGTGTGAGGAAGAGATGAAAGCTTTTAGGCAATCGTGGAGTCAGCTAAAGCGGACCTCAGAGGACCGAATGAAATGGAGATGTGCTGCTGAAGTCCCATGCTCTACTCGGAATCCAAGGGTATAATAATAATAATAATAAATAATTACTTCAATAACTGTCTCAAATAGTCTCATTGTCAAAACCAGAAAACCCAAATTTATAGTGTAAACTGAACATTTATCATTCCTTTGACATTTTAAGATTTATTTAGGAATACTAAATTGATGAACTCAGAAACAGAGAGGAATGAAACACTGGCAGTTATTAAGAGTGACACAGAATACTGAATGTTCATAATGAAAAGTAAAACAGATAAAATGATCTATTTCGTCTTTCATCTAAACAGAGACAATTTTAGGGGGTGAAATCGCCTTACTGCAATCGATTCCAAGAAACAAAGAATATTTTTGGTTACAAGATTTCATCATGAGCTGACATCGGTTAGAGAACCATTGGAAAACCTGGAAGTATTAGAGAGATGTTTCATCCTGTTTCGGGACTCTTCATTAGTACGCACCCACAGGTTTCGAACCCAGATTATTTCTGCCTATCTAACAATACATGCATTCGCATTATGAAATTATTAAGAGTTAGGTGATTGTCATTATCTCAGTGCAGTCACTACAGGAATGAGTAGTACATAACTGTTTGTTTAACATCATTCCACCAGCATCCCCAGTTGATCTTCACCTGTCAATTCTAATCATAATGAATTAAAAGAAGAAAGGGTAGTTCGCAGACCTTGAGCTTGAATTTCGCGGAGATTCAGGTTTTAATTTTACCTCAAAACATGACGCATCACAGCAGTAGTAGTTAAGACTATCTTAGATGGTCTCACCGATAGTCAAAGCATTGGTGTCTGTCTCTATGACTTTAAAGTGTACTTTAGCAATCTCATGTGAATATGTAACTGTATTTTCACAAGATCATGTGTAGATGTCTATCTACACTAAACCAATGAGAAACAAATGTTTGCAAGAATAAGTTAATCAGTTGTCAACACCAACTTTAAACGCCTTCATTCTTCCAGAAATACAATTTCCCTGTAACATAGAAGTGAATAAAAGCTCATTTTTTCTTGGCTGTGATAACACACTTCCTATCCTCACACATTCTGCAATATTTACTAGTGATATTCCTCGGATATGTGCATTCATATAAGCTTTGAGTCTACGGAGGTAACTGTTATTATTATTATTATTATTAATCCCTTTGGTTCCGAGTGGAACATAGGGTTTCAGTAACACTTCTCTATTTTACCCTGTTCTCTGTATCCTTTTCAGGTGACTCCACAATTGTCTGCAAGCTTTCATCTCCTCCTCATACGATCTCCTCGATGTCACTGTCGGATTCACGCTCAACTCGTCTTTTCTCATTCGGCTTCCATTTATAGACCTGACAAATGTTACACAACGGTCTTTTCAGCATGTGTCCAACTCATGGTAACAGGTTCTTAGTTGGTTCATTACCATTGGCACATTTTGTTCACTAAATTCAAGATGAAGAGATTTGTTTCAATGATCTACCTTTTTTGCAGACAACATATTCTGAAAATTAACCTCTGACTAACTGTTAACCAACAATGAAGTGACCGAAGGAATTCATAATACACATCCCTTGATAAAATAGTTTATTGAGAATAAATCAATTATTGTGTATAAGTGGAATTCAGTCTTATACTATTAGTGATTCTCATCCATACTTTTCATCTTTTAGTCAAATCCATTTCCATTTTGAAACTGTTGGCTTACAAAGGGTGTACTCTACCCTACTATCCTTAATAATAACAATAATAATAAACCTCATACTGTTTACTATGCAAATGTTTAGACCTGCGTGTTAATAGGTGAGACGTATTCAAATTATAAGTGAAGGAAGGTGATAGTCTAATATATATATATATAGTTTGGTTTTTACGAGTTGATCACGGATTGATATCAGTTAGATAACCATTGTAGACCAGCGAGTAGTGGACAGCTGCTGTTTCACCTTAGTTTGGGAACCATCAGCAGCAGGCACTACTGGGGTTCGAACCCAGGACCTTCTGGTTACAAGGCAAGCTAGTTCGTATACCATTCAGCCAATGGGACCCAATTCAATGGCCAGCTCATGAGTTCTAGCTTCTACCATTTCGTGATTTAGTGTGACCCCAACCACTGTCGTTGGTGGGACATCCATCCTCACATGTGACATCTTGATGGACCTCACTGGTCACCACTTCTCACTAGAACTGACTCCAGGAAACTCCATCCCGTAGCAAGTCACTAGCGAGCATCACATTAATTTTCTATAGTTTTGGTTTGTAAGGGTTAGTTATGTTTTTACGAGTTGATCACGGATTGATATCAGCGTACTGCCGAGGATTCCCAAACTAAGATGAAACAGTTGCCCAGTACTCCCTTGTTTTCAATGGTTCTCTAGCTGATATCTCCTAGCTGATATATATACATATACATATATATAGTTTGTATTCTCTAACCAATCACTCATCGTGTGATTTGGTTTAAATTAAACGGCATTATTAGAATGTTTCAAACACATATAATATAGTATTCTGTTGCGAATGCAGTGTTGAGCTATGGGAATATGTGTGAATAATATTCGGTTGGAACACATCGTCTATATCATACAACCACAATAACATTTAGTGATCATAAGGTTATATAGGATATGTAGTTTGCGTGGAAGTTAAACCACTGTTGAAAACTATCAAACTAGAAGGAAACAGGTATCCAGTACTCCTTAGTTTTGATTG